CGGCGTTACGTAATCAGAATACAAAAATCAAGTAACTGTATTCAGCTCGCGTTACATTTGAAAAACGAGTAATCTGATTACAGTTACTTTCGTAAACCTGAAGTGAATACATTTTGGATTACTTATTGGAATTATTGATGGAAATATTTCCTCACAACATTTAATATTCATTATTAAAGGTAGGCTACAGCCGAATCATCACAGTGCACAAACACTTTTACCGCCGCAGATGGACCAAAAAAGGGAGCGAAAAAAAGGGGCGGAGCCGCTCTGTGAAACAATAACAACGAAACATGGAGGAACAAAAGTCTGCGTTTAAGTCGTGTGTGTGTAGAGGTGTGTGTGGTTAAAACACATCAGCCTGCGGTCGCTCTTTAGCCTTATGATTCTGAAGGTAAACACAGCGAAGGCGGTGCGTGAAAGGCACTGTACGCTCGTCTTCTGAGTTAACCCTCCCGCTGCCTCCTGGTGCTGCAGAGATTTCATGAAGTGAAGGAGGTGTTCCTTCTATAAAACAGCTGTGGGCAGCAGATAGGCTACTGTGAGTGTCACGGACATGAATTCATAGATCAAGGCAGACTGGTGCACTGTGCACAGAGTCTCCTGTTTTGCCGATCCGGTGCTTAAACAAATATAGCTCTACACCCCTGGCCGACATGTCCTTAAAATGAAGTCCGAGTTCGACATTTTAATTCATGTCCTGCCAACACTTGCAGGACAGAATGCGACACGCCCGTTCTAAGCCGTGTCCCTCACTCCTCACATCCCAAGCTGCATCCCCAAAAAGTGTATTAGCCTATGTTGTTGCATCGTTTCAGATGTTATGTTTCAGTTGTGCTCTTGATAAGCCATTAAAACAGTAAAAACACGTTCAGTTTCCTTTTGCTTTTTGTGTCTCCTGTTCACCAAAACATACCCATCTGTTATGGAAAAAGAAAGTAATCCAAAAGTAATCTAAAAGTAATCTGATTACGTTACTTTTTGAAGACACGTAACTGTAACTGTATTCGGATTACTTTCAGAGCCATGTATTCAGTAATCAGTAACTGATTACATTTACAAAGTAACCCTCCCAACCCTGGTCCCCGGTGTGTCCCCGGTGTGTCCCCGGTGTGTCCCCGGTGTGTCAGGAGACTCTCAAAGGGTCAGGAATAAACCCCTCTCTCTTCTCCTCCGTACCCACATCTCTAAAAACGGGGAACAACGGAGCTGATCCAGATTTGCTGCGTCATGACCACATTACTAAAATGTGGGCGGGCTTTAGACCCACGGGCCAATCAGAAACGTTGCTGTAAGAAACAATGAGACATGTTCTGGAAGTAATATGGTCTGTGTTTACATTAGCATGCTAACACTCAGAGCTAACCTGTACTGGAGAGAGTCTGTGTGAAGAAGCAGGAAATCAAAAGGAAGTCACCTTGTGGTAAACCTGAGAGAGAGAAAGAGTTTGAGCTTCATCCTGTTTCAGAGAGAATCCTTGATGTGGTTTGGAACGTGATGTGCACTTTCTTTGAACAGTGTGTTTTGGTGTTGTTGTTTTTGTTTTGTTTCTTTCCGTTAACTGTCAAGTGGGAAATCAGTATTTTTTGTGTTTCTCTTGTTTTCCTACGATACTGTTCTGATTGGCTGTGAAAAGGAAATATGAAGGAAAGACCATCTATTTCTATTTATTTATAAAAAAAATTAAAGACGCAGGTCATATCAGATGACTTTCTTCTCCCTGCTCCTTTCCGGTCCATGGTGTGTTTACAGAGACATGTTTTGTTAACCATTATTATACATTAAGTTTTGCATACCATGAACGGAACAAATTAAATGAAATATGGAGTTTAATCACGGCAGCGTTTAGCTGAGTTTCTGCTGCTAGAATTCTCCTGATCAGATGCTCATAAGCTCCGCCCCTGTTTTCTTTAAACCAGTCATCTCTTTAGTAACAGCTGAAATCGAGGGGGATGAGGCTCGAATCATCTGCTTGGTATTGGAGCAAAACACATCAGACATGTTTTTCATATATTTGTATGTGTCTGAGACTCTTAATATATGCCTAAAAATAGCACGATAGGAGATCTTTAAACCAGATGTATTTATTATAATGTGTGTGTTTATGTTTTAGGACCCCTCTAAATGAGAGGCTCCATCTCAAGGGGCTACCCTTCAATACATTCTCAGATCTAAAGTGAGGGAACATTTACACTGCAGGGTCAGACACACTGTTGGAGATCAACATTATGTTCTGCTCATTTGAATGACTCTGCAATCAGTCTAATCATAATAATAATAATAATTCCTTACATTTATTATAGCGCTATTCCAGATGCTCAAAGCGCTTTACAAATACACATTACACATATCATACATGCAATGGTCATGTACTGTGGACAATACCCACAGGAGCAAGTTCAGGTGAAGTGTCTTGCCCAAGGACACTAATCATGTTCTTCTTCAGTGATTACATGGAGATTTACAGATTTTCTGAAATCTAACTTGAAGAGGTAACATTTAAAGTAACATGGAAATACTCAAGTAAAGTACAAGTACCTCTAAACTGAGCTTCAGTATTTGGGTAAATGCTTTAGAGACTTTGAAACGAGGAGATAAAGAAGGCCAGAAACATTTGAGACAAAATGACATTTATTTATTGTTAATGAATGATTTCTCCATCTGTCAGTAAATGTTAATCAATACACATCAGTATCAGGTATAATGTTTTAAAACTCAAAGAATATTAAACTAATAGTAAAAATGTTAAACTAAGCAGGAAGCTGATAACCCGTTAAAACAACAACAGAGTAAACCGATTACAATGGAAATAAATTCAAACTTTATGTGAAAAATACAAGATTTAAAAGTTATTCTTTTTCCCTTCAGCTGTTGATAGATCTTCTTTAATCTCCTTATTCTCATATCGGTTGTTCTGATTAAAATAAACTTTCCATTAGTCTGAGTTATTGTTTAACGTTTAGAAACGTCTCTATCATCCAGCAGGAGCCACGTATCATTTCAGGACACTCAGCAATACAATCAACATTAACAAAAGTCACGTAGAGTTACAAATCTCAAAGAAAATAACATGAAGAGCAGAAAAAACATTTAGCAATAATCTGATATTTGTAAATGATCATAATAGAAAATAAACTTTTAATAAACTTGCAGGTTTAATCTTTTACATTGGTGGTAATGGTGTCAGGACGTTAATGATTTCTGCTCAAAACAATCACACTTTCACATTTCATCACATGGTACATTTGACTTCCTGTCCAACAGAACATGCAGATTGCTCCTGCAGGAAGATGTTTGAGCAGGAGAACAATAAAGCTTTATAACTCATTGATTAACACTAGAGCTCTAAGTGCGGGTCTATTTGGACTTCATGTGTTGTATCAGTGACGGAAGAAGTATTCAGATTCTTTACATTGGTTAACGTTATGATACCACATTGTTTAGATACTGTTACAAGTAGAAGCCCTGCATTCAAAACGTCACATAGGTCAAAGTATGTAAAGTATAATCTAAATGAAGCTATAGTTATAAATGTAAAGGTACCCGATGCAGAAGAGTAAAGAGTAGAGTCGTGAAGGAAAGAGTCCAACATTTCACTTTGAACTGCATTCCACCTCAGCGCTGGGTGGACCGGGTTCTCTCATATTCCTAAAGAACCGCTGATCCAAACCGCCTCACACGGGGCAGCAGCTCCCCCTGGTCCATAGCAACACACATGCCAAACAGGAAGTAGATGGGTTCCAGGGCTGGTGAGATCCTCTCAGATATGAAAACACAGACGTCTTCCAGTTCGTTGATAGATCTCCTCTTGGTCTTGCTGGCATCCGTTTGGTCTTGGTTTGGTTTTGATCCAAAGGATTTGTGATCCCTATGGACTCTGGAGGAGCTTCTCTCGGCTCTCCTTCAGCATTTCTTCAAGACCAACCATCTTGCTTTGAAAAATGTAATCTTTCACGATTAAAAAAACAGTTAAACGATAACTTTGAAACAACAGAACATAAAAAGAGATGTCCCATGAACATCATGGTCACTTGGTTGTGTCGGCCATCAAGGACTCTTGATCACTATCACTCACATCCTGTCTTGTTTAATTTTGTATTTACACGTCTCTTCTTTGAAATCATGTTCAGCTCTTGTCTTGGTCTCAGTTGGAGCTGGTCTTGATGTTGCCCTCAATAGTATATCATTCCTTCTCTTAATGTGGAAGCATTGCTCAGGCACTGGACTCGTTCCTCCCAGCCTTCCTTGGCCTCAGCTTTCTCTCCTTCAATAATCATACCAAAGTAGTCTGGAGGATTTTGAATCAGTGCTATATGTTTATATCTCCATTGATACTTCCTTATTCCACCAAAAGGTCTCGAGTGAACAAATAAACCGTCCAACAGACCATTTTGACAATTATTTTGCACAAATTCATATGAGATCGCGAGCTGCTTTCTTTCTCTGAGGACATCCTTTGTCATGGTCAAGCTTTTGGTTGTTATCTTATCTAAAGCAACAAAGAACGTCTTCATGCTATTGGCCCCCATTTTCCAGAACATCTTTTCAAAGCCTCCCTCTTCCTCCTCTCCACTGGAGTCAGCAGCAGCAGATGATTGGTTCGGTGCAAACAAGGCAGAATTATTGAATGTGAAGTGAACTGGCAGCCCGTCTTCTGTTTCAGGACATGGGACGCCTGAAGCTTTGATCGCCTCCAGAACTGGTGGGCGTTGGAAGTCTGCGAATGTCACCAGAATCTGGATGTTTTCTTCCACATCTTTGCCAAAGATTGAGAGCACAGAATCAAACACATACTTCTGTGTTGCTGTGAGCTGAGCTGAAGAAGCTGGAACTACAAGACACACAGCGTCAATTTCACTGATGCCACGCTCAGTAGAGAAGAGATTAAGAATCTGTTCTGTGATCTCCTTGTCTCTTTGTATTTCTCTTGTATCTCCAAAGCCTGATGTTTCCACAACGGTCAGAGAGAAAGGGATTTTAAAGCCCTCTTGGGTGGTTGATGTTGTACACAGTGACCTCAGAGGTCTGGCTCTCAGCTTGAGATCTCGACTGATCCTCGTCAACTAACTTGAATCTGAAATCGTCCTCCCACTCTACACCAACGATGTAGTTGATGAGTCCATTGATCAGAGTGGACTTTCCAGATCCAGTTGCTCCAACAAGCATTATTGTACGATTTTGCATCGTACATTCATTGCCAAAGTTGTACCTCCGGCATCCATCAACGTCCATGTCTTCTTCTGTCAGAGGCAGTTTGTAAACTGAGGGAGATTCAGAGTTGATCCTCTTGCTTTTACTTATGAGGGATTCTGTGAGATGTGCACGTTTAGTTGTGCGGACATTAACAGCGATGCTGTCTTTGCTTCTTCCAGCTGCACCACAATCACACCTGACCCTGACAGCGTATTCTGTCTCTGGCTGAAGTCCTGAAATGATCGCCTTCTCAGCTCCCGCCATCATTTGCTCCCAGTGGAGATCTTCCTCTTTCCCCTGTTGGTCTGGTTTGGCGTACTCCACGATGTAGCTCAAAACGTGGACATCTCGTCCGAGCTCAGCAGGTTTCTCCCAGCTGACTGATATCTCACAACGTGGAGTTCTCCAGGAGGGCTGCAGGGTAAGGTTTGAATGGATCCACTGACTTCATTGGCTGGCCCGGCACCTACTGGTGTCTCTGCCCTGCATCTGAACCTGTACTCTGTGTTAGGACTCAGGCCGCTCACTGTGACTTCTTCAGCTCTGGATGCCGTCTCTTGTTTCCAGCCGTCCTCTCCTCTGACACAGTACTCAACAGAGTAGGAGGTGATGTCCTCTGCTCCAAATCTGGGTGGAGAAATCTCCAGCGTCACACTGTTGTGGTTTATATCACTTCCTGTTACTGCTGCAGGCTTTGAAGGCGGCTCAAAGTTCTCATTGACAGAAAAGCCGTCTGTGTAAAGGTAGATGCTGGCACCTGTCTGTGTCTCGTTTGTTAAACCCACCGTCAGAAATGTGATGTTCTTGTTCTCCTTGTTGGCCTCTGCAAAATCACTGAAGAGCTTTGCTTTATGCCGCATTGCTCCCCATTCTTCTCTTTGAGTTGTACCATTGATCTGGGGGTGTGGATCTTGGGCATCGTCTGGTTTGGGTGTTTGCTGAAGGTAGTTTGATAAAGTTGAGAGGTACGGTTCATCTCTTCCCAGCGAGGTGAAGACAAAACACACAGCCTGCTCTGCTTTGAAGCTTTCTTTGTACAGGTCTATTTGAGATGAGATGATCTTGGTGGTTGTCATCATGTCGGTCAGAGACATCACGGTGTAGATTTCTCTCTCCTTACAGTCCATCCACTCGTTCAGGTCCTTGCTGTTGAAAGGAGAAGAACATGTCTTCCTCAGTTCCTCTGCGAGCACAGCTTCTTCTTCTCCTCCTCCTCGGATTGATGGAAGTTTGTTTGCCAGGTTTCGTTGGAATTCCAGTTTGAACTGAGAGCACCTCTGTTTAAAGGTTTTGAGTTTTTCTCCAATCTCTGGGAACTGCTGTGCAGTTTGGGTTCTCAGTGCATCCTTGCACCTCATCTCCAGGTCACTGAAGTCCTCCAGGACACTCTGACATTCTTCAACTAATCCTATACTTATCTGACGGACAAGTTTAGCGGCAGTAGAATCTAAACATGTCAGAGGCAACAGCCAGACCTTCACTGGTACTGCGTTTTCCCCGTTGGCTCCCAGCAGCTTTGGCAGACTTTGGTACACCTCTACTGCCTCCTGAAAGGATGTCGGAGGTTTCGGAATCAAAAAGTCTCCAAAGAATCTGCAGGACAGTTTCTCAACATTTGCTTTGTCCTTGTCTTCGATTTTCAACAAGCCTTTGCCCTCTATTGACAGGGAGGGAATGTTCTTGATCATCACCTTCAAGTTGCCCTGAATGTCTTGATGGTTCTCGTTGACAGACACCTCACGGTCAAAGACAAAGAAGGCTTGAGCGCCATAAAGGATACCTGTGACTACATGTGTTGCTATTCCTTTCTCAAACACAAACTGATGTTTCTTAACATCCCCAAGATGATTCATGGACAGTTCGTGGAACTTTGTGGTAGCTTGGTAATTCAGTGTTACTCTAGCATGATTTTGGAAGTCTTGCTATCGTTCAGGTATTTGGCTGATCCTCCAACCTCTACCAGTCCACCCAAGAAACTCGCCTTCAGAGATGCTTCAACATTTAGTGCTTTAGATTTGTCCTCAATTGATTCAGATGCAACTATATCACAATCATTATAGTGCTGTGGTCTTTCTCCAATATGATCTTTAAGGTCCTCACGGTCCCACAAAGTCATTCCTGCAAAAGAAGAAGTAAGCAAACATCAAGCTAGAACCAGATTAAATGTTAATACACACTAACTTTTGGGGAAAGACATAACAAAACAAAAAAGTAGAATGCATTCCTGTCAGCAGGAAACACCTGGATATGTTCTTCTATAGGTTGTTAAAATTAAGATGGCCACTTCTCATCAACCTATGGCGCCGTGAAACCCCAACTGCTCCCTGCACCATATACTATACTGAACGAAAGATGAGGATTCCCTCAGTTGTCTGTGCTTCCTGTATAGTTCCCTGAATCTCACCACTGTTATGCTGACGACACGCAGATTTACTGAAATGTGTTGGGTAATATTAGTACTCTCCATGACTGCCTGTATGGAGGGCTCAACATTATAAATGGCCCGCTTGCCGGGAAGCACTATTTAGACACCCCGAGTCAGCATAACGTTTCCCCTTGCCTGGTCGGGCCACTAAAAATATTGCTTTAAAAAAATGGTCCTGTGGTATTGGTATTTTGACAAGAAATGTTGTTAAATTGTGTTGTTTATTAACGCTACAACATAGCGTTTCGTGAGGCGGTTGTTGCTGTTGGATGAAAAGCAAACAGCTGTTTGCTGCGGAGTACAGCGCAGCGCCAGCATGCTCACGTGGGAGCTTGCTCCTTCACTACAGACTTTCTCGTCACCTAACCATTCGCCAAAATGTTTTTAATACCAGCGGTAACCTGCCAAGCGCCGGGCAAAAAAAACAATCTTCAAATAAAAGGAAGACACCGGAGGAGTTAAAGGAGAGTGACAGGGAGTATGAGAAGAAGAGGGAGAGAACGTTTCAGCCACACTGTCTTGATCGATGGAGTTGGCTTCGATATGATGATATAAACAGCCTGTCTTCCTACAAAAAACGACCATATAGGCCGATTGTTCAAGCCCTTATTACGACCCAGAGATACGTTTTAAAGTGCATGTTGTTTCTTACACGACCACTAGAGGTATCTAGTGGTCGTGTAAGAAACAACATACTCCCGGCCCGTTCATTGCAAACGCTCCGGAGGGACGTTTATTCACAAATAAACCTCTCTGGAAAATCCTAAATTGTAGAATAGTTTGGCCATTAAAATGCTTTTTGATTCGATTTCTGGCGAGAAGTGTATATTGTACTCTTAGAATCCACATCCTGTCGATGTGTAGGATCTATAGTTTGATAGATATTACGAAGATGATCTGAGGTCTCGCCAGGATAACGTGTATGCAGCTTCCATTTAAAGTTAGCGTGGGTGAAAACTGTTTTTCCGGTCTTGAAGTTTTCATAATAAAACCGGATATACTCCCCTCACTGTCAAATGATTACACAGTGATATCTGCATTACTCATCCACTAAAAAAACATCAGTTTATCCTTGTTAATTACACAATATTGATTGGTTTAAATTTTGTGCAATGCTTTTGTGTTTTTAACCTTCGATTCAGAGAAACAAATAGTTTTTTAGGAGTTTAGACACTACAAAGTTTCCGAAGACACTACACTACCCACAATACCCAGCTATCGTTTGGGACTACAACATCCGCCTTGCTTTACAAACCCCGTGATTAGTCATCAAGCCCTGTGATTGGATGTTGGAGTGGCCGTGCGACTAGGTTACGCTGAGCGTCAACAGCTCTTTGAAATGGAATGGAACCACGGCAGACTTTCCAAAACTGGAATTGGACGGGTCCAGCCCCCGGGTCCAGCCCATACATCCATGATCCAGCCCCCCCCCCCTCCCCCCAGAACTACACATGCTGGCTATTGTGTGTTTCGCAACATGTTCTCTATGGCACGTCTCTACTGGGAATTGTAGTTTTATAAGACGTTTTCGTATTTCCCATAAATAGAAGTTGCCAGTATTAAACTGTGTACACCCTGGAGGTTTAGGGGATACGAAACACATAATAATAAAAAATTCGATTTATAAAGCACCTTTCATTGCTAACAGCAATCCCAAGGTGCTACAGGAGGCATAATAAACATAAATAAATAAACAAAAGTTGAATCAAAAGCTGTGAATGTTGTTCATTGATAAGCCTGAAACATGCACTTGTCAAGGTTCAGAGGCACATTTTGCAAATATGGCAGTAGCCATCGATCTGCAGCCTTTGACACCATCTCTCACAACATCCTCCTCACCCGCCTCTCAGACCTCCTAGGTGTCACTGGCACAGCGCTGTCCTGGTTGACATCCTACCTCCAGAACAGGAAACAGTTTGTCTCCATCAGTGGCTCAAACTCACCCCCGGCCCCAGTCCCAGTCCACCACGGTGTACCCCAGGGCTCTGTGCTTGGCCCCCTCCTGTTCACCATTTACATGCTTCCCCTTGGCCAGATCATCCGACATCATGGACTCAATTTCCACTGCTACGCTGATGATACCCAACTGTATCTCAGCACCACTCCATCCTCCCAGCTCCCCCCTCAGTCTCTCTTCAACTGCCTGCATGACATCAAAACATGGATGTCTTCCAACTATCTTAAGCTGAACAGCAATAAAACAGAGCTCATGGTTGTGGCACCCAAGGCCCTGCTCCAGAAGGTTGGTGACTTTGTCCTCGAGGTCGACGGCTGCTCCATCTCCCCATCTCCTGAAGCCCGCAACCTGGGTGTCATCCTCGACTCCACCCTTTCCTTCCATTCCCACGTCAAATCTGTGACCAAATCGGCCTTTTACCACCTGAGGAACATTGCCAGACTCCGACCGTCACTCTCGGAGTCGGTTGCCGAAACCCTAGTGCATGCGTTTGTCACCACCCGCTTGGACTACTGCAATGGTGTCCTGTTCGGGGTTCCCAACAAAACCCCGGACAGGCTCCAGTATGTCCAAAACTGTGCTGCTAGGGTACTCACATATACAAAGCCGTGGCAGCACATCACTCCCACCCTCATCCACCTCCACTGGCTGCCGGTCAAGTCCCGCATATCCTACAAAGTCCTCCTCCTTACCTACAAGTCCCTCCATGCCCTTGCCCCCCAGTACCTATCGGACATCCTTCACCCACATGCCCCACCCCGGAACCTGCGGTCCTCAGACTCTGGCCTGCTTACCACCCCCCGCACCAAACTGCGAACCTTTGGGGACAGAGCCTTCAGTGTGGCAGCCCCCACCCTCTGGAACGCTCTCCCTGCGGAGATTCGCAACATCCCCACACTTGACGCCTTCAAAAGGGCCCTCAAGTCCCATCTGTTTGCCAAGGCTTTCGGCCCCTAATCGATCTGTTGTTTTGTCTGTCTGACTTTTGTTTTGTTATGTTTGTTTTTGCCCTATTACTTGTAAAGCGACCTTGGGTCCCTTGAAAGGCGCTATATAAATCCAAGCTATTCTTATTATTAAGATAAGATATACTTTATTGATCCCAAGTTGGGAAATGTTTTTGTTACAGCAGCATACTACTTTGTTCTACTCCACTACACTTCAGAGGTTAACCTGGTATTTTTACTCCACTACATTTAGTTTAGTTACTTTGCAGATTCTGATTAATGATGTGAAATATAAACAACCCTTAAAGCAGACTTTAGTTACACCTGAGTCAGATTCAGGGAAGGTGATTGTCAAGTGACAAAATAAACTATGCAATATATTGGACGTTAAATACTTTGTCAGACTTCATAATTATCTGTGGATAACCCCAACATGTTTTTCTTATTCAAAAAAAGACCTTAACTTAAAGTAATCTTTAATGTTTAAATAAAGCCTTATTAGTTTGTCTGTTTTGCATCCTCCTGTTAATATCTTTGGACGTCCTGCACTAAACGGTTTTATTGTAGAGATCACTACAGTGTCTTCTTGATATGATCTATTCTATATTTCTAGCATGCCTTCTACTTTCCCCCTATGAAAGTATGTACTCTTAATATTTTTTTCATCAAATAAAACATAATCTCAACAAAATATAACATCATTTCAAAAAGAAAATTCAATAACGTTTTTTAACCACTAGGTGTCCTTTTCTATCAGCTGTGCACCGTTATGGTGTAAATACAGCCTATCTACCAATTGGATCAAATATAAAAGTCAGCAGAATTAGTGTTGATACTGCAAGGAGACGTGTTGTGTGAAAATAAATGTAAGATGTTGTTTAATTGCTGATATATTTATGATCCACGTCACGTATTCAGTTTCGGCGGCTCTTCTTCCTGTTTGTCCAGAAGTCTTCTCAGCAGGGCTCTATAAATAAATATCTACAGCAGATATGTCATATTTAATGCAGCCGAACCGTGTATTACAATGCCGTTATGTGATGACCTTCAAAGAGAAAAGGTTCAAGGTTAAAAAAAAGGTTTTTCCGATTTCATATCACATGAACACCATATCCCGACATGCATTGCGGCTAAACAATCGATATTTTAGCCTATCAAAACCTCTGAAAAAAGAAAGGTGTCTCTCAGAATCGAAAGAGAAAAACCTATGGGAAAAACACAAAAGCATTGTACACAATTTAAACCAATAAATGTCGTATAATTAACAAGGATAAACTGATGTGTTTTAGTGGATGAGTGCTGCAGATATCACGGTTAAATCATTTGATCATTGGTTTTATTATGAAAACGTCGAGACCGGAAATACTGTTTTCAACCCGTAACTTTACATGGAGGCTGCTGCATGCCTCAAATCATCTTCGTAATATCTATCAAACTATAGATCCTACATATCGACTGGACGTGGATTCTAAAAGTACAATATACACTTCTCGCTAGAAATCTAATCAAAAAGCGTTTTAATGCCAAACTATCCTACAATTTAGGATTTTACAGAGAGGGTTATTTGTGAATAAACGACCATCTGTAACGTTAGCATTCAACGGGAGCACTAGAGGGTGAACACTTTAAAACGTAATTATAGGACGTATTAAGGGCTTGAACAAACAACACATTTGGTCGTAATAAGGGCCTGAACAATCGGCCCATTTGGTCGTATGAGTTGGAGGACTTGTTGTGATATTAACAAGGTGTTTTGTCAGCTCTGTACATCAATGCCGACCTATGCTGACAAGTAAGTGAAGAGTAGAACATATAAAGGTATTGGCTTTAGGGAAATGTCCCAGCAGTTTACGATAATGAAGGATCTAATCTATTACATAGCCATTACATGTCTAACTCCTAATGACAGGAAGGCAGAAAGCACATTATACAAATAATAATACTCACAATAATGATGATAGCAGAATTATTTTTTAACAATGACCACAATATAATTATTTAATAAACCAAATATGAACAATTGAGGAAAATGAGGAAGAACTGATGATTCGAATGTTGTAGTTCAAGTAGTAATGTAGTTAGTGCATAAATTACTATTGCAACAAATGTCTTCATTATTAGTCGATTTTTTTTGGACGAATGCTCTTGGGCCAGTGGTTACGATGGTGGGGCCAGTAATAATACAATTCCACTGGCCTTCCGGGACCCTTAATGTCTACCCCTGCTTTATGGATCTCACTTAACCTTCTTGATCTAAATTCATACAAACCGAGGTCTTTCTTAGTGTTCCTGGTAACTTTGTCTCTAAATCCTGCATCAGAACCGCGGCCCCCAACGTCAAACCCTGCTCAGGAAACCTGGCTGTGATCTTTGACCAGAATCTGAACCTCACATAAACAAGCTAGTCCAAACCATAGACTGGTCCAAACCTGCTTCCTCCAACTCTGCAACATCACACAAGTCAAATCCATGCTATCAACCAGACGTCTGGAATAACTGATTCATAAAGTTTTATCGAAGTGTTTCTTCCAAAAAGAAAATGTTGTTGTTCTGTTTTTAAAAAGGTGATGTTTTTTCCTCACCAGGGACGAGTGAGTCGTTGCGGCAGTCGTACAACATCCCAAGACTGAAAGGCCGTCCGAGCGCCACCACCTCCATCGTCCCCCTGCCTGCAGAGGCCATCGCTCTGAAGGAAAGATTGGACAACAGTTTGTTAGCTCACAAATACAGAAGTCTGAAGTAACAATTAGGCTGATGCAGATACCAAGGTCTTATTGTTCCTGTTGTTTTTCCCTTTTTGTGCAAGGGAAACTGATAAATCATTTTGATAAGAAACACTCCAGTGTTTCAGCTCCCTCCATAGACTGTATACTGTAGAGAGGCTCCATCACACTTACTCTAAATGAGCACACATTCCTAAAGATGTTTTGAGCCTGCAAAACACTATCCTACTCAAGGAGAAGATTATAATGACCAACAGTCAGTGGCTGCCTTTGTGTTCTGCTATAATCCATAAACATTATTCTTTATGACTACAAAGAGACTCAAAACAACAACAATTGGAACAAAAAGACTGCAAAGAGACACTAACAAATGCAAAGAGACTTAATATGACTACAAATTGAAACAAAACGTTTACAAAGAGGCGCAGTGGCTCAGTCTGTAGGGACTTGCTCTTGGAACCCAAGGGTCGCCGGTTCATGTTCCAATTGGACCGGAAACAAAATTGGAGTAAGCTGGAAGCTGGAGAGGTGCCAGTTCACCTCCTGGGCCACTGCCGAGGTGCCCTTGAGCAAGGCGCCTAACCTCGAAACTGCTCCCTTGGTGCCGGATGACTGGCAGACTCTCTGCTATGCATGTGGTTGTGTTTGTGCATGTATATCCTCCTGAGGGATTAATTAAGTATGTCTTCTTCTTCAAAATGAGACATTAACTTCAATGAGATGAAAAACTTTAAAATATATATTTGTAACATCCCATCAGCCTCCTGTCAGCTGCTGGTTCAAACCTGCACCATGCTGCCCTCTGGTGGCTGCTCACACAAACTGCACACAGCCTGACATCACAAACAATACCCATGATCACTGACGTGCAGTCAGGTGGGGCCTCACCTATCTATCGCAGGGGGGGCGCGAGGCCTCAGATGATTTGAGGCCAAATATCATATTTATAATTTTATTTTTTTTATAATTTATTTTTGTACATATAATTGTAACGCAATACATGATTGTCACTAAAAGCCTTGTCTCTATATTACAATAACATATACAAAATAGTTGATTAATTAATTTGAATACAAATTCAAGTTAGTATTAAAGGCATAAAAAGACACAAATGTATAATTCTTTCTTTGATAGAAATGTTTCTTCTGCCGTAAAGTGTCCAAACCAGGCTTTTCTGGATAAGCGCATTTTTAAAAACATAGTCATTGTCCATGCCGGCTTCAGATTATTTGTCACAGTTGCTCCGATCAGATCGGTCTCCTCCATTTAGAATATTTACGACTTTTGAATCCACATAAACACATCGGCAAAATCCGGCTTACTTTGAGCATGTGTTTTAAACAGTTTAATCCCTTTGTGAATTGTTTTCACTTCCGCCGTCCTTTAATTTCTTCATACAGCGGGAATCCAAATGAATTAATCCTGAGTCCAATAACCATCAAAGTCACTCCAATAGTGCTCCTTAATTACGCTTCCATCCTCCTTTAACAAAATACTTCACATTCATCCAGTTTGTGACAGTAGTTGTAGCATTTTTGAGACTTTTAAACTTTAATTACCGCTGCTGCGGTCCCCCCCCCCCCCTTGTGTGTGTGTGTGTGTGGGGGGGGGGGGGCGCAACTTCCAACAGGAGTAATTTGGGGGGGCTCTTGGGAAAAAAGGTTGGGAACCCCTGGTCTAGCTATTTATGACATATTTAGTCTTGCTGATGTGACATAAAAGCACAGTAACAAGACACAAGGTGAGGCAGACAGTACTCAGTGAAGGGGGCGCCCGTGAGCCCACAGGTTCTTGTTGCTACTGTTATTCTAATCTACGCAGAGACGGTAGATACAAACAACAAGCTGGACCAGTGACCATTGTAGATAATTCTCATATGATTAAGTTTGTCCTTTGCAGGCCACCGTAGCTGGTGCGCCACCCGGTGACGTGTAAAGGTAATAGGCATTCAGTTGTTTAAAAAAAAAAAAAAAGTCCACTGACCGTGCTAACTGGCACAGCGCTGTCCTGGTTGACATCCTACCTCCACAACAGGAAACAGTTTGTCTCCATCAATGGCTCAAACTCACCCCCGGCCCCAGTCCACCACGGTGTACCCCAGGGCTCTGTGCTTGGCCTCCTCCTGTTCACCATTTACATGCTCCCCCTCGGCCAGATCATCCGACATCATGGACTCAATTTCCACTGCTAAGCTGATGATACCCAACTGTATCTCAGCACCACTCCATCCTCCCAGCTCACCCCTCAGTCTCTCATCAACTGCCTGCATGACATCAAAACATGGATGTCTTCCAACTATCTTAAGCTGAATAGCAATACAACAGAGCTCATGGTTGTGGCACCCAAGGCCCTGCTCCAGAAGGTTGGTGACTTCGTCCTCGAGGTCGACGGCTGCTCCATCTCCCCATCTCCTGAAGCCCGCAACCTGGGTGTCATCCTCGACTCCACCCTTTCCTTCCATTCCCACGTCAAATCTGTGACCAAATCGGCCTTTTACCACCTGAGGAACATTGCCAGACTCCGACAGTCACTCTCGGAGTCGGTTGCCGAAACCCTAGTGCATGCGTTTGTCACCACCCGCTTGGACTACTGCAATGGTGTCCTGTTTGGGGTTCCCAACAAAACCCTGGACAGGCTCCAGTATGTCCAAAACGGTGCTGCTAGGGTACTCACATATACAAAGCCGTGGCAACACATCACTCCCACCCTCATCCACCTCCACTGGCTGCCGGTCAAGTCCCGCATATCCTACAAAGTCTTCCTCCTTACCTACAAGTCCCTCCATGCCCTTGCCCCCCAGTACCTATCGGACATCCTTAACCACATGCCCCACCCCGGAACCTGCGGTCCTCAGACTCTGGCCTGCTTACCACCCCCCGCACCAAACTGCGAACCTTTGGGGACAGAGCCTTCAGTGTGGCAGCCCCCACCCTCTGGAACGCTCTACCTGCAGAGATTCGCAACATCCCCACACTTGACGCCTTCAAAAGGGCCCTCAAGTCCCATCTGTTTCCCAAGGCTTTCGGCCCCTAACTCGATCTGTTGTTTTGTCTGTCTGACTTTTGTTTTGTATGTTTGTTTTTGCCCTATTAATTGTAAAGCGACCTTGGGTCCCTTGAAAGGCGCTATATAAATCCAAGCTATTATTATGGCCCGAGCACGGAGCGCTAGGACCCAACGGGGTCCTAGCACGAAGTGCGAGGAACCTATTGTTATTGGTGGAATTATTATTTTTCTGCTGGCGTTTCCTGTTTTTGAGGTTTTTAGGACGCTGACAAAGTTGTATAATTTTGCACGGACGCCAGGACTGGTGAAAAATACAATATTCTGGAGTAAATGGGTTAAATATTCCAACGTGCTCGCTAGCGCCACCAATGAAAAACCCATTTCGGAATAAATGTACAAAGTCGCACCGTAACTCCAAATGACCTGACATTTTGCACATATATCCGGGTGGACCTGCTCTACAAATAATCTTCTTGGAACCCTAAGCTCCGCCTACATTATTTTGTATTTAAATTAGCATAATGTTCAAAACAGTTAAATATTCACTTAAATTTCAATTTTCAGTTTTTCAACACCAAATTTCGTATACAGCATCAGTGGAAGGTCAGACACATTGCCCTAGGAGATGAGCATGTTCAAACGATAAATATTTCCGCCATGAATTAAAACGTACTCGCAAAAAGGCGGGGCTTAGAAATAAATGCTCATAACTCTTCAACAATGTATCCATTCACCACAGCTTTTGGTGGAAAGGTTCAATCTGTTTTGGGAAATAGGCACACCAAATACATTTCATTTAGGACTATAGGGGGCGCCAAAAACACCACCAATTTTTAACTCAAGAGCGGATGGACGAATTATTATTTATGTTTTTTACACATACTCTCGGGGTGACTACGAACTCAGATTTAAAGTGTTGCAACAAATTCAGAATGTGGGTGTCGCCTATAAAAAAAAATTTAAATTGCGATAGCATAAAATGAGCTTCGGACGCAAAACTTGGGACACACGTCAGAGCCCACGACCTTTTCGAGAATGTAAAAAAAAAACGTACATTTTCAAAAAAACTGCTCACTAGGCAAGGCAAGGCAAGGCAAGGCAAATTTATTTATATAGCACTTTTCAACACAAGGCAATTCAAAGTGCTTTACAAAAAATGAAAGAGATTAAGAAGATGGCATTTAAAATCAGTCATTAAAAATAAAAGCTAATAAAATAAACATTAAAAGAAAAAATACATGGATAAAAGTTACAGTGCTGTCAATTAAACATTAAAAGAAAAAAATACATGGATAAAAGTTACAGTGCAGTCTAAGATATGAATAGTTCAATTAAAAGCAGCGACAAAAAGAAAAGTCTTCAGCCTGGATTTAAAAGTAGTCAGAGTTGTAGCGGACCTGCAGGTTTCTGGGAGTTTGTTCCAGATATTTGGAGCATAATAACTGAACGCTGCTTTACCATGTTTAGTTCTGACTCTGGGGACAGAAAGCTGACCAGTCCCTGAAGACCTGAGAGATCTGGATGGTTCATAATTTAGCAGGAGGTCAGAAATGTATTTTGGGCCTAAACCATTCAGTGCTTTATAAACCAGCAGCAGTATTTTGAAATCTATTCTTTGACACACAGGAAGCCAGTGTAAAGACTTCAGAACAGGAGTGATGTGATCCACTTTCTTAGTGTTAGTGAGGACTCGAGCAGCAGCGTTCTGAATCAGCTGCAGCTTCCTAATAGATTTTTTAGTGAGACCTGTGAAGACACCATTGCAGTAGTCGAGTCTACTGAAGATAAAAGCATGGACAAGTTTTTCCAAATCCTGCTGTGACATTAGTCTTTTAATCCTAGATATATTCTTCAGGTGATAGTAGGCTGATTTAGTAACTGTTTTAATGTGACTGTTGAAACTCAGGTCAGAGTCCATGACTACACCTAGATTTCTGGCTTTATCTGTTGTTTTGAA